GTATTAACTTTTCATCTAACATCAAAAAACATAAAAAAGCAAATTTTCTTTTCCAGTAAGTTAAATTTAATGTGTAATTATTGTTGTTTGTAAGTCAGGATTTATGACTTTATTATTTTTTATTATAGAATTTTGTAATTAAATAAACTACACTCCGTAAGATACGGGTTGTAACTATTTTACAATAAATATATATTATTTAGAAATAAATACATTATTTTACTTACACTAGGAGCTTTAAAAAGACTTGGATTTTTATCTCCTTGTGTTCTCTTTAATTTTATATCGAATTTATATCTCGTTTTTCAACCCGGAACGAAGCAAATCTTGCTTTGCCGTTTTTTGTTACTCATTGTTACTTGTAGTCAGGTTCTTTATTTCAGCTTATTTTTATTCTTTTCACTAAATTTTACAAAAATCACTTTAATTCCCATTGACTTGCATAGAAAATAGACGTCGTTATTTTGCCATCCGCCAACTACAGTAGTTTCTTGGAACTCCATAAAAATAGGGACGGAAATTTGAAATTTGACCAAGGCCGATTCGCCTCCTTATCTCTAGTCTTCATAGTCGTGTGTAAAGAATTTAAAATCTAAATCAATATTTGATTCCTAGCAACGAGGTGATGAGCTTCATCTTTTGTCTTTATGAACTGCCATGCAATAAAAGTGTATCAAGGGATAACGGGTGTTTGACGTGTTTGACGCGTGTGACGCAAGTGACGCAATGCAAGTGTGAAGAAGATATCTAGTGAATGTAAGTCAGTACACCCTCTTTATCAACATTGCGAACTAGAAGTTATATCTCAATCAGAATTATTCCCTATTTTTTTAATTGGATGAAATTTCCATTTAAGCTAAAATTTGTTCTATTTTTTGAACAAAAACTTTATCGTGTTTCTATAAATTTTGTCTTAGAACTAAAAATTTTTAACTTCTCGATTTTACTCAAAATTACTAAATATACATGTGTAGTACATCCAGTATGTATTTTTCTAATTTCCTTTATCCCATTTCATGATATTTAAGAATAAATTCCTCTTTTCTCCATATCAAGATGGGATTACGCTTACGTAATCCATCTTCTTCATCCATCATCACCATAAGACTTACTTCTCTGTGTTTTAACGATGTAAACAGGAAATAAATGTGAAAATACCATATCAGGAAATTATTACAATTCATTGGAAATGGTCACAATTGACTGAATACTGAATATAATCATTTATAAATAAAAATAAATCCATAAAATTGATAATTCGTTTAATATAAAATGCTTATCTAAGGATTAACATTAACATTGTTGAGTTCGTTCACAATGTAGGAGAAAAAATAATCACATTAATCATATATTGTTGGTGAGGTAAAAGGACAAAGTCTGTGAACACGTTATAATGATTCACACAAGTAGTACCAAGGAGTCTAGTTGAAAATAATATTTCTTTCTTTTTTCCCCTTCCTTTTACCATTTTGACAGTTGCAATTTAGTTAGATTATTGATTTTTTTATTGATTTCATCCTCCAGATTATTGGTTTTTCATCCATCCTATTTTCCATTCTATTCTGTTTGTGCTCATTATTTTCATGCCATCCAAGGTTTTGATTGTTTCCCTTTCTTTTTCCTTTTCCTATTTCGTTTTCTTTGTATATTGTCATTATTGGGTTTATTCTTGTCAGGTGACCGAACCAGTTTAGTTGTTTTTTATTATTTAATTCGTTGATTACTCGGATTGTTGTATTTTTTATCATAAATTTTTTGGATTCCCCATCAATTCATTTTAGGTGTTTCATCTCCATTGTATCCATTGTATCTTCTGGATCATCCAGTTTTCACTTCATAAAGTATGCTTGCACTGAATTCGTATTGTCGAATCAGCATCCAGACATGGTCCATAAAGTACATCAGCATAATTCAAATGACTTAAGACAAGAGATTCACACAGTTGTTTTCGTAGATGAATATTCAAAAAAGATTTACTGTGGTACAGGTTTTTAAGAGACATGTAACATTTTTGCAATACGGCTTTATGCTATAGTTTAAAAGTAAGTTTAGTATCGATCACCAGTAAAGTTTTTAACAGTATCACTATGCTCAATTATGTTTCTATTAATCACAATATTCAAAGTATATTTGCTAAGGTTGCATTCATATTTATACAAGCCTGATGGACTTCATGTGTTTTGAAGGTTTTATATATTTGTGTGTCATCTGCAAATTGATATATTTCACAATTATTTACTTCTTTACCCATATCCGCTGTATACAATACAAACAGTAATGTTCCCAGAATTAAACCCTGCGGTACTCCTTTTGGGATTATTCGAAAGCTTACGGTGCTAAATCCTTAACGAAATTCAAACACTCAGAAATCAAGCTACACACATCGCAAAAAATTCTTGTACCCCCCTCGTAAATATTAAAACGAAATATTTAGCATGGCTGCTTTTTTGTACATTTAATCTTTATTTATTTCACCGTTGATATGCATCTAAAAATGTTTACAAAAACAATTTCCCACAATTTTAGGTACCAATATTTAAAAAGTGGTTCATATCGATTTTGCGTGTTTAAGTGATTGTTGAGTTTTTCCTTGCAACTATGCCTGGCAATAGAATTTCAGTGTTCAATAGAGCAAGAATAGTGGCTTTGCATGATGAGGGTCTGCCGAATCATCGAATCGCAGATAGACTAGGGATTCCCCGCGCTTCAGTTATCCGAATAGGGCGTTTGAACTAGGAAACTAATAGCGTTGACTGGAGACGTGGGACTGGGCGTCCTAGGGTAGCTAATTTAAGAGAAGATCAGTATGTAGCAGGTTATATACGTCTGAATCGAACCGTAACAGTCTTAGCTGTCCGAACTCATTTTAGAAGAACGTATGGTCGATTCATTTCCAGTACCACAATACGGCGGAGACTTGCTGAAGCCAATTTATGATCTAGGAGACCATTAAGAGTACCCAGGTTACTTCCCAGACATAAAGCTGCTCGTCTACAGTGGGCACAGGAACATAGATACTGGTTTTTAGTTCAGTGGCGAAATTTTCTTTTTTCGGACGAAACCAGATATGGTTTAATTAGTGATAGTCGGAGACATAGAGTTTGGAGAGGGCCAGGGTGACCAGAAAGACTATCTTTTCCAGAGAAGTCGTTCCATACTAAGGAGGAACAGTAATGTTTTGGGGAGGCATAATGCATGGTCGTCGTACGCAGCTTATTGAACCCATTATTTATCCTCTCCGAAATGAAATTGGAGCCAATTTTATTTTCATGGATGACAATGCTAGGCCCCATCGCGCGAGAAGGATACAAAATGGACTAGAAATTCAGAATATTTTTATAATTTTGACTTGATTATTTATAAAATTTTGTTTGGTTAAAAAATGATTTACCATCGTTCTTTTGTAGGTACTTACAATCAAATATTTCAGAAAATTGTTGTATTTGATTGCCCCACGGCGTTTTTTTTTTTTTTCAATAGTAATAATAAAAATAAGGGACATGTGCAGTGTTGCCGATCTGATTTTTGACTTTACCCGCGGGAAATTTGAATAAAAAAACGTTCTTACCCGTTATCCTTAAAGGCATACGTCAAAATTTTACCCTCAACATTTCTGGGCAGTTTTCAATAACTGTGTTTAATTATTTAAAAATAAAACACAATTTACAGCTTTTATTTTTTTGTTTTCTTTTTTGTTGTTAAACGTAATGTCTAATGTGAAATGTCACTATTCATTGCCCTATTTTTTCGATTTTTGGTTTATTCGATTTTTCGATTTTTAATTTTTCGATTTTCTGATTTTACGATTTTCTGATTTTTCGATTTTTCATTTTTTTTATTTTTTGATTTTTCGATTTTTTGATTTTTCGATTTTTCAATTTTTCGATGTTTGATTTTTGAAATTTTAGATTTTTTTCATTTAAAAACTAAAAAAGATGCATTTTTATTTATTTTCTTTTCATAACTGGTGACATAATCAACTTTTCGTAATCAGTTGTATAATGTTTTACTTTATGCAATAAATATTTTCTCTGCCTCTTGTTATAATATATTTTTTTAACAAAGAATCTGTTTCACGAATTTGCACTTGTTTTGGATTATCTTTAAAAACTCTAAAAACGATAAAAACCAATGTTCAGCTGGGAAATTTATTTATAAAGTACGAAAGTAAATTGTTCTAGTAGGTATTTGTAGACAAAATGTAAAACGTAATCTCAATTTTTTTAAAGTGACTTCTTGTATTCGTGTAAACGCACCTTGATAAAGTTTACGCTGCTAAGCAACAACAAAATGCAATTGAAATAAGAAGACACGTGCAAACTGCAACTAAAAATGCAATACTCTTTTGTCAGGGGACATGCGGTAATTCTATAACTTTACATAAAAAAGTGTAGGATTTTTGAATATTGTCCAATTTACAATTTCAACGCTCTGTATATTATAAAACTTGCCATAGACGTAGACGTTGTTGTTTGGAAAGTCATGGAATACAAGATTATGTGAAATATTAGAAAATTTAAGCAAGTACCCTTTCTCCATAGTCTTAAAATAGCAACTTTGTCAATCAATTAAACGATCATTAGGGTCCAGATTTCTTATCTATTTAATACAATTAAGTATATATTTGTTTAAGGTTAGATTCACAAAATTGTATCTTCGCCCCTTCCCCTTTAAAAAAACTTCGGCGGCGCACTTGGGCTTGCTAATTATCCACTTTCCCGACATAAGTAGTAAGTAATACCAGGAAAAAAGGACAAGATGACCTAAAGAAGCATTCAATTTAAAAGTCCCCTTTTAAGAGAACAACATTACAAAATTTTTCATTATATCTAACCAGTTAATAACACCACGTAATACCCTACAACTGCAGCGCAATAAATGGTAGTTTAGTATTACTAGTTGTTTACCTTTTGTTCTTAAAGTAGTTATGTTTGTGTACCTAAATGTAATTACCATTTCATTGTTTGTAAAAGTGAAGTTATTTTGTTTATTCTACTCACTTGGTGTAATTTTCAAAAAACATAATACCCATTAACATATTGTTCAGCACAAATAATTCCGGAGTTTCACTAAGGTCTCTTTTAATAGTATATATGTTCTGCCTATCTGATGCACTAATTGTGTTGTCAGTTTGGTATACAGAATTATCACTATTTTTTATATGATTCGCTAGAATGGAGTTACTCTCAATTATTGGTTGAGCTCTTCTCGAGTTACTGTTTCCCATTTTCTACAATATTCTGTTTTACTTAATAACGTGGAATAAGAAACAAAAAACCGACCCTCCACCGCACTGTTTTTAAATAATACACTGTTAAAACTTTATTTAATAGAAACACTTATATTAGAAACAAATCTCTGCCCGAATTATTTTTATGTGTTGCATTTTCACAAAGTCATAAAAGTTTTCTACCTCAATGTGCAACCCGCTTAGAACTGATAGCGACTCTATATTACGAAGTATCTATATTTATCATTTTGTACTTAATTAATCAGTTATCAGATTATCTTATTGTTGACATAAGTACATTTTGAGGGATTCTGAAAAAAAAAAAATATTTGATGGGGTATTAGGTATTAGCAGTAATTTAATTTTTATTGAAACAATATGCAGATTTCAATTCAAATGGGCTATCGATTAGATCTTCAGTGGACTGAAAAAAACAATTATACAATATTATTAAATTAGAAAATTTTGTCTATCTTTTCTGTTTATTTAGATTAAAATTTTAAATATATACAAGGTGATTGTAAACCTTTCAGAAATGTAACACAATAATATTTCCGAAATGTATTCTAGTTTTGTTTTATAAATATTATGACCCGTTGTAGAAACGTTTCTAAAATATTTCTGGAATAACAAAGTAGATCTGGAATGCAATATTATACTGTAATATTTTTATTAGTCTAAAAAAGGCATTTAAAATACAAAAAATAGAAACAAACAAATAAAAAATAATAATTATTATTATTATACTCTTCACACAGTAGTCCTCACGTCGAAAACGAAAAACGATATCAACTTGAAAATTTCAGGAAAAATCAAGCTATGTAAGGGGACGAAGTATATTGGTTTTGAAAAAATATAAATAGAAATAGGGGGTTAAGAGGGGTAGAAAGAGTAAAAAAAAATCCTAACTCAAAAACTAAAAATTATATCAACTTGAAACTTTTAAGAAAAATAATCCTATATAAGGGGACAAAGCCTATTCATTTGAAAAACAAATCTGAACAAAAATTGGAGGGTTAAAGGGGGAGAAATAGTAAAAAAACATCCTAACTCAAAAACTAAAAATGATATGAATATGAAAATTTCAGGAAAAATAAACCTGTAGCCTATTGATTTAAAAAAAATCTGCAAAAAGATAGGGGTTTAAGGGGGGTAGAAATAGTAAATAGTAAAATCGAAAACCGATAAAATAATCGATTGGTCTAAAATAATCAATTAATCCAAAATAACCGATAAATAAAAAATAATCATTTAATCGAAAATAATTGATTTATCGAAAGTAATGAATAATCGAATATAATCGATTAATCGAAAATCGAAAATAATCGAATAATAGAAAATAATCGGTTTATTGAAAATAATCGACTAATTAAAAAAATAATGGAGTATTTAAAAATAATCTAATAAATCGATTAATCGTAAATAATCGAAAAATCGAAAATAATCGATTAATCGAAATAATTGAATATTCGAAAGTAATCGATTTATCGAAAATAATAAAGTAATCGATTAATCTAGCTGTACTCCTTTTTTCTTTCGGGTAACATAAATCTGTTTGTTATGCTACATGGGCCTCAATATTTTTGGGTGATAACTAGAGTTGCCACCTTTTTGAAATGCAAATAAAGGACAATGGGTGAGGATAGGGATTCGCCATATTGTTTTAGTTTACATACTTTCTAAAAAAAAAAGGTCTTCATGTTGTTTTACTTGTTTTAATAAGCTTTCAAAAGTCGCATGGACAGGACTGTAGCTCAACCAATTTATTTACTAATAATCGTCTTTGGGGCTGCACAAAAGAGCTTGGAAGGCCGCAAAAAGGTTGGAGGGCCGCACAAAAGAGCTTAGAGGGCCACAGGTTGAGTATGGCTGCATTAATCGAATATAATCGAAAATAATCGAAAATAATCGAAAATAATCGAAAATAATCGAAAATAATCGAAAATAATCGAAAATAATCCAAAAAAAAACGAAAATAATCGAAAATAATCGAAAATAATCGAAAATAATCGAAAATAATCGAAAATAATCGAAAATAATCGAAAATAATCGAAAATAATCGAAAATAATCGAAAATAATCGAAAATAATCGAAAATAATCGAAAATAATCGAAAATAATCGAAAATAATCGAAAATAATCGAAAATAATCGAAAATAATCGAAAATAATCGAAAATAATCGAAAATAATCGAAAATAATCGAAAATAATCGAAAATAATCGAAAAATATTCGAAAATAATCGAAAATAATCAAAAATAATCGAAAATAATCGAAAATAATCAAAAATAATCGAAAATAATCGAAAATAATCGATTATTTTGCCAACCCCTAGTAGAGATATTAAAAAAATTCCTAATTCAGAAACAAAAGGGATTGACGCCTATTGAGTAAAAAAAAGTGTGATTGAAATATTTAAAACTCAAAAACGAAAATCATAATCAACTTGACATTTTTAAAAAAATTAAGCTCTACATTGGAACAAAGCCTAAAAAAAAAATGTAAAAAAGATGGAGGGTTAACCCTTAAGGCGGGTTGAAATGCCAAAAAAATAGAAACCCATGGTTAATATATTTATAGAACTTTCGTATAAATCTTCGAAATCTTTTTTTCAGACCCCGATAAATAATGAACCCCCACCTGACAGGTGAGGAAACCCAGGAAAACGTCACTCAACATCGTAAACACGATAAGTTTAAATATTGATATTGTAATAACAAAAACCTAATATGGCACACATCAAATTCCAGATATTTTTCTGCCAATTTTTATTTATAATTGACTATCTAATATTTCTATAACCAATGATATTTGATCTGGTAACACATAAATATCTTTTTTTTGCAGGTTGAATCAGTCCAATGGACCTTCGACACCATAGACGATATCACCAGCCAAGGAGAGCTAAAACCATTGGCAGAATTTTTAACGAAAAAACAGTTCGATTTAGTAATAAATTTACCAATGAGAAATGGTGGGGCTAGGAGAGTGTCTTCGTTCATGACCCATGGATATAGAACTAGAAGATTAGCTATAGACTTTTCTATACCGCTAATCACAGATGTTAAATGTGCAAAGTTACTCGTTGAGGTTAGTTTCTGTGCTATTCATTCATATAGAGATAAATTAACACGAGTCCAACGTCTCTTCTTTGCCCCTATTAAGGCCTTCTTTTTCTTAATTTAATTCTGTTGAGCATATTGCCTTTGAATATTTAATCAATCATAATTAGTTGTATTCTGTACCTTTTCTTAATAAATCTGAAAGAAATGTTTACTGAAATATCGGTTGATTAAGTATAAACATTTCAAAAAACACTATTTTCTTCATTTGTTTCATTTTAGATTTATCTATAAGTTCAAACTAATTAGAACACTTAAAATACATATAAATATTTAACAAATATTAATCTCCTAAATGCATTAGCGACATCCTTGATTTTTCTATTTGTGCAATCTTATCAATGAGTTTTATGTAGCTTAAAGATATATAAAATATAATTTATTTTTACATCTACACTACATAGTTCTTTAAAATAGAGATAAGCTCAAGGTACTAGATACTTGGTTAGTGTTAGTAACTTGAAGCAAACTATATTTTTTTGTACATTTTTATTGTTCAGATCTTAATCCTGGATGCGCCACTGCTTTTTAAATTAGTGTCATAAACACTAAGCGTCAAAATATCTGTCATTATTTTTAGTATTATCTTAATTTTATGTCCACATAATATGAATACAAAAAGGGTTTTTTCAAATCCAAACAGTATACCAAAATTAGTAGATATTTTGTTAAATGTAAGTAATAATAAAAAAACTATAGTACCTACTTAAATTGAATAATAAATATATTAACTTATGTCTCAATAGTACACAGTTTCGGATAGTTAAACCCGTCATCAGAACAAAAATATGCTATGTCAATGACTTTTGACTTTGAGACTACAGTAGACCTAACATTTATTAAAACCAGTATTAAAATTATCCCCAAGTCGATGTGTTGTACTAAAGGGAGGTAATTATTTGTAGGCTATCCGCATAATTGGAAAGGCACCGCCAATGAAAACCCATACAGATTGCATAAGCTCGCGTAATATTATCAAACTACCTGGATTCATAGATACGCATGTTCACGTCAGAGAACCCGGCGCCACCCACAAGGAAGATTATTCGTCTTGTACAGCTGCAGCTTTAGCTGGCGGTGTCACTTTAATCTGCGCCATGCCGAACACCAATCCCGCCATTGTCGATGAAGAATCATTTGCTCTGGTTAAAAAGTTGGCGAAAGATGGTGCTAGATGCGATTACGCATTGTTCGTGGGTAAGAATACAAATCTACAAAATGATTATAGCTGTTTCAACCATTATTTTTCTTTCAGGTGCTTCATCGGACAACACTTCTACAATTTCTGACCTAGCAGCCGAAGCGGCGGCATTGAAAATGTACCTCAATGAAACCTTCACCACCTTGCGTCTTAAAGACCTTGATATTTGGTCGAAACACTTGGCGAACTGGCCCAAAAGGGCTCCTTTATGTGTTCACGCTGAACGTCAGACAACCGCTGCTATTATACTGTTAGCAAGTCTACAAAACCGAGCGGTACATATATGCCACGTGGCTCGAAAGGAAGAGATACTTATCATCAAAGCAGCTAAAGAAAAGGGTTTGAAGATTACGTGTGAAGTATGTCCACATCATTTATTTTTGAGCACGAATGATATAGATGAGATTGGAGCATCAAAAAGTGAGGTAAGTAAGTAGCTTTGGACTATAGCTTAGTATTTAGATGATTCATCTTTCGGTGATACGTTGCATAGTATGATTGACAAAAAAAAGATACGAACCCATTCAAATGAATAGTAGACCAGCAGTCATCAATGCTTATGGTGCTTTCCATTAAAACCAGTCTCGTGGACTAACCATTAATTTTGTTCTGCACTGATATATAGATGTAATCTGGCTTCATGCATGCCAGAAAATATTTTCTTCTTTCATTGTTGGAATTCCAAGGTCTCGATGAAGATCTGCATTGCACACATACCAACGAGCGTTTACTATGTAGCGCAATATTTTGTTCTGAAACGTGTGGATATACTTAATTTTACTATCTCTGGCACAACCTTAAATTAAATGTCCAAAAGCCTGGCCAGTCGGATAACCTGGTTGTAGATTAATATTTTATTATGTACTGACAGTTTTGAGTTTCTGCCCAAGAGCCATCAGTGCTGTTTATATTTTCTCTTTTTAACTTTCCATCGTAATTTGGCATCAAGGGTCATGTCAAGGTACTTTGTATTCAGCTCAGGAGATAGTCTTTCCGTTGAAATTTAGAGAGAGTGTTTGCTGTTATTCTATTTTTTTTTTTGGGAGGTTCACATTTTAGATTTTAGTTCATTGAGTATGTTTCCCCATTGATTAGTCCATATAACTAGAGAACTGCTACCAGTTTTGAATTTTCTTACTGATATTTCTTGGTCCTGATCAACTGCAAGAAGAGCAGTAATAATAATCAGCGAATGTAGCTAGTCATATCTTCCATAGTTGGCAAGTCACTAGTATAGAGTAAGTATAAGATGGGTCCTTGAACACTTCCTTGAGGCCCTCCAGCTCTTATTTATTTTAAATTGGTATATTCGTCTTCCTGCTTGATTCTTTTAGTAACTGCTATACCTTTTACTTTCTCATATCGTTTTTCAAGATCATTAATATCATATATTTTCAAATTCTAATCGTTTTACAATACCTACTTTTAAATGAATTTTGATATAGTCTTCTTTTGGACATAGATAACGTGGATTTGATCGGTTTTGCCCCAAAATCTTATATTCAAATGTTGTGTACACCTCGGCCGTTTGATCTTTTTTGACCTCACCAGAAGTTGTTTGGCCTCAGTCGCAAATTTCTGATTCGACCAAAAAATATCAACTTTACGGCCCTAGTAAACAAATACATATTTCGTCATACTTCAAAAAGTTGTCAAGAAGATGAACTTTTTTATATTGACAAAATTTTCTAGGTTAGACCTGTATTATGTTCTCCAGAAGACCAGCAAGCACTATGGGAAAACCTACACATTATCGACTGCTTTGCTACGGATCACGCCCCTCACACCATTCAAGAAAAACTCGGCGAAAAGGCACCCCCTGGTTTCCCAGGATTGGAAACGATCCTTCCTCTTCTTTTAAACGCAGTGAATGAAGGTCGCATGACCATGGACGATCTTATTAACAAGTTTCACAGGAATCCTAAAAAGATTTTCAACCTTCCAGATCAGCCTAATACTTATGTCGAGGTTGATATGGAGGAGGAATGGATTATACCTGAAGCAATGGCATATAGTAAGGCTAAATGGACTCCATTTGCAGGAAAAAAGGTGAGACTACTTCGTTTACTGAACCTTTCCTAACTGTATTAAATTCAGAGAGTAAAATAAAGCTTTTATATTTAGATAAAGGGTGCTGTTCATAGAGTTGTACTCAGAGGAGAAGTAGCTTACGTGGAAGGACAAATTTTAGTTCAACCAGGTTTTGGACAAAACGTCAGAGAATGGGACAAACGTTTATATACAGTTTCAGTAGAAATGAGCCGACCATCTTCAACTTTGACACTGGATAGACCGTGCTCTCCTTATTTATTGAACGGCCCAATTGAAAACGATAACGATGTCCAAACCAATGAAATATTTTCCAAACTTTTGGCCAACGAAGGCAAGGTTCATTTTGCTCAAGAACCACCGCACACATTTGATTCGAGGTATTAAATGTTGCATTAATGTTAGGATAATTTTAAATATCTAAATTTATTTTCAGATTACTATCGCCTATACCTCCAAGGATACGGACAGAAAGTTTTTCTAACACGGAGAAGAAACAGAAATCCGACAACCAACTAGAAGCTGGCCAAATACATCAGCATCAGCAATCACATCATACTTTAATACACAAACATATCTTGAGCGTTGATATGTTCAGCAAAGATCAACTCAACGACATCTTTAATTTGGCTCAAACATTTAGAGCTTACGTCACAAAGGATAGGCCTTTGGATCAAATTTTAAGAGGAAAAATAATGGCATCGATCTTCTACGAGGCCAGTACAAGAACTAGTTGCAGTTTTGCGGCTGCCATGCAAAGATTAGGCGGCAGAGTTATCTACATGGACGAAGTCAGTTCTTCGGTTAAAAAGGGAGAAACCTTAGAGGATTCCATTGCTGTGATGGCCGGGTACGCCGATGTAGTAGTCCTCAGGCACCCTCTACCAGGATCTGTGCTGGTAAGTAACTCTTTACTTGTTTAAAATTTTGATTGTATCATTATTAATGAATATCCTTTTACAGAAAGCCTCTCACCATTGTCGAAAACCTCTGATAAATGCAGGAGATGGGGTAGGGGAACATCCTAGTCAAGCGCTCCTAGATATTTTCACCATAAGAGAAGAAATCGGTACTGTCAACGGTCTCACCATAACTCTAGTTGGAGATTTAAAGAACGGCAGGACCGTTCATTCTCTAGCTAGACTTTTGACGTTATACAACGTCCAACTCAGATACGTCAGTCCACCTAGTCTCAAAATGCCCAGTCACGTGACTGAGTTTATAAGGTCGAAAGGGATTTCTCAAGAGGAGTACAGTACTTTATATGACGTTTTACCTGACACCGATGTTTTGTATATGACTAGAATTCAAAAAGAGAGATTTGAAAGTCAGGAAGAGTATGATAAGGTAAAGTTTCACTTCGTTTAAGTTAAAAGGACATTAGTTTCGTTATTTTTTCCTGGAATTAGCGATAATAGATAATGACCACATGGTCTAGAAATGTCTGCCATTAGTCTACTCAGTTTCCAAAAAATCATTTTATTTTAAAAAAGAGAATTAACCTGTTTTGCTTGAAAATCGTTTATTGAAATTTTCTTTTCTAGGCATGCGGTCACTTCATCGTAACCCCAAAATTGATGACAAGAGCTAAGAGGAAAATGGTGGTCCTTCATCCGCTACCTAGAGTATTCGAAATCAGTCCGGAATTTGACACTGACCCGAGAGCAGCTTATTTCAGACAAGCCGAGTGCGGAATGTATGTCAGAATGGCGCTTTTGGCTATGGTTTTGGGAAGATATTAGAAGTTGATTTTATTCCAGAGGTTAAGTCACAAAAAAAATGGCTACCAGTTTATTTTTAATGTATTCAAGGCAAATATTTTCTTTACCGATTCATCAACGGTTGTAGATTTTCTTAAGGTACATTTACATCTGACATTTATTGCATGAGATTTATGTCTGACAGTTGTTTAGTCCAGTGTAAACACACAAAAATGTCTCTCGGACATATATTTTTGAGTGTTTACACTGCACTAAACAACTGTCAGACATAAATATCATGCAATAAATGTCAGATGTAAATGTACCTTTATGGAAGTCAAACCGTCAAATATCTAAAAGTTTAGATCTTTGCTTGATTTGTTTTTAAAATTGACAAATTTTATTGGCGATAATCATATTTCTTGTTTTCTTAACTGTAGGTAAGAAGAAGAACAGTGATAAAGGTTAGAATAGTATCATCAATTCGTTTATCAGCCTCCTTTATTATGTCCTTACTCTACCCTTTTCTTTATTTTCCATTTTATAAAGGTAATTCTTAAAATTTCTACTTTTTTTGATTTTTCTATTAAGAACAGCAAATTAATTTAAGGTATCGCAAGTAGCCCAACAATATACAGGGTCCATAAGTATACGGTAAAAATTTAGGATCGAGTAATGGGGTTAATCTTTATTTCGACAAGGAACTATACAACCTATTATTGTTGGAATTTTTTATATCAATTTGAAATAAACATATTTTTAAGTAACTTGTTTTTTAATTATCGCAACTTTTATTGCTCTTGTGTTTGTGTAAGTTTAAACTGTATAAATTTTCAATGGGATCTGGAAGAACTCACTCTGCACCTGGTAAGTATATTTAGATCCTCGTTGGCTCTGAGGTATATCCTTAAAAAAATAGAGAGAGGTAGAAATGGTCTTCATACTCAAACCTCTGATGGATCTACACTGTCTCAAAAACATCCTGCCAATTAGCCTGGCATTTAAAAGGCTATGTGTAGGGTACATAAGGGATGTGGTAATCACAATAACACCAGTACTTATACCCAAATCAACATGTATACACCCCAGGCAGCTTATTGATTCAACATGAATACTGTCCAGGTAGATTACTTATTCAGTCCTTCTCCTAGTTGCTGGTTGAATGAAGTACCTACTTTTGACAGCAAGTTAACCTACACCTAGAAAACAGTCAAAAAAGCATACATTGCTTATGAACAAATGCCGCCAAATCGTGGAGCGTACAATAGAGTTATCTTTTAGTGTAGATAACCCAACAATTGACAGATATCCGCAAACTAGAACAAATTCAAAGAACAGCATAACATGAGCCATGAAAACCATACCAACCAGGGCCATGGAAGACATTCTGTCTCACTCTCCTTGATATTTATATCAAGTATGCTCTGATAATGACATGACTTCGCATGGTTGTAATAGAATATGATTGTAGAATCTAGTAAGGAGAGATGTTCATTATCACTTTTGGTAAGAGACACTCAATATGCTTCCACTGCAATGAAAGAGCTGTCGAAAATCAGCATATTCAAATAATGTCAGACAGCCAAGCGGCACTTAAGGCCATATCGAGTCAAAAAGTTAAGTCGAGGCTGGTAAGGGAATGCATCAAAGAACTAAGAACATTGGCAGACCGAAATAGAGTAAAACTATTTTGGGCACTTTTTGGACAACCCCAGGTTGGTCCAACAACGTATAGAACCCACTCGCCCAAGGATCTGTACAAACTTGTATAAGGTACAAAGGTGACAGAGTGGGTGCTATGAACTAACATGGGGTAAAACACAATAAGCCAGTAGGCTTCAGTGTTATTCGGAGACATAATCAAACGAGCCCAGGAGAAAAAAAAACCTGTGAAAAATTATAATAAAGCTAAAAATTGGTATGTTGGTCCAATTCGAAGTAAGCATATTAAGGTGCTTGGGATGGCGTCTACCGTATACATCGGCACTGATAATGTTGGGAGATATTAAAATATTTTACCGCCGACTTTTTTATACAATTATGGACCAAATTTATCAAGAAATTGATAACTGATTCAAAAATTTCGATGACCATTATAGTCAGTATTTTGACATGGTTTTCTTACGTTCTGAACTTACAGATTTATGACACCGAACATACTGATAAAAAAAGAATGCAAGTGAGTTATTGACGTTTTTAAGAGAAATTGTATTGGATAAGGCCTATTCAAAGATAATAATATGCAAATTAGTGTTGACAATTCCAGCCACTAATGCATCCGTAGGACGTAATTTTTTACGTTTAAACACCAACATTAGAAGAGTTATTGCAAATTCACTTATGATCAGTTACTATTAGGGCCGCTTTTAATTTGACATCTGAACATGCGCAGATCCTTTACGTTCTAGGACTGACTTTATTAAAAATTGTGCATGTCCATGTTTGTGGATGTTTAAAGACAGCAGATAATGGCGACTTTATAGCTTTCGGATGCGCTCGCCGACATTCGTTTCAGTTCGAAGTATTACAGACAACAAAAAATATGAAATATTGTAATTTAAAATGAGGTTAGAAATATGTATAAGGACAAGGACTATAATGTCAAAACTTCAGGTTTGCAATAAGTCTTATTTTACCATGGAATTTATTTGCCTTTAATTACGATGTCACTATTAGTGGCAGACATTATAGAAATTTGCAATATCCCTATTTACTTGCGAAATTGGACAGGACAAAATCAGCTTAGTAATATATCCTTCAGCAGTTGAAAACTATCTTGTTAGGGAAATGTCGCAGTATCCGCGTTTTCACAACGAAGTTATAAACAAATTTGCGAAAAGAGAATCCAATTACACTATAAATAGGTAAGTTTTTGACATTTGCTACCCTTTTCCCCAATTTCACTTCACGCCCCTGCTTTTCGTTATTTTAGCATCCATTTTTTCCATGTATCATAACTTTTTTGTAATTGAATCCAAATATTTGTTCACTTTTCAGTTGGTCGATTTTACAATTAAAGTGAACTCTAATTTATAATTATTGAGAAGTTATTTTAAAAATACCATAAAGATTTTACTAATAGTATATTTAATACATTACTACAATTCAGTCTTTACAGTTAAGACACTTTAATACATTATGTACACAATAACCTAGATAAGTATAACATATTTCACAAAAATAAGTCATAAAAATATAAATATCTTCATTGCAAAACAACATAGCCTAATAAACAAGGCTAACAAATAAATGGTACAAATTAAATAACTTTTTTAATAACGGAAGTATTATTTTCAGCCATTTTATTGTTTCTTTTTATTTATATCATAAGTAACTGACATTTCACAATTTTTCATTGTTTTTACACAAGCAGTAACATCTTAACAATGCTCGATTTTTATACTGCAAAGAAAAATACACTTTAAATCAATATTGCAGCTATTATAATCAATTTATAAAAAAATGGTCTATCACATTATGCTTGTGAACTTGAGGGTTCCCCATATTCTATTTTATCCAAAATTGAGTTTTGATCTTCTCTAACAGGTCGACCAATGATTGGTATTGGAAGCTTAAGTCTCAGCAATCTTCTCTTTGGTTTGGACTGCAACTTTTGTAGTTTTCTGAAATGAAAAGTTTCAATATTATTAAGAAAAACTAACATAAATAACATATTTCTCACAAAAATACTACCAATGTTTCTAATCAGATAAAATAAAAATAGTGATTTTTAAAACTTTTAATATTTTGCAAGATAAATGCTACCTATTATTTAATAAACAAACCTATTTAAAATTTATATTGTAGTATTTTTCTTTGGAGCAAAACAATTCTATAATTTCTCTCAAAATAAAAAGTGTTTTCAATATTCTCCATGCACGTCATTTTTTCAAAAAAATAAACCATTTTATCCATTGGTCTCCCCAAATGAGAAGCTTATGAATACAATACACAATTCATACTTATAATGATAGAGAACATGGAGGTTAATTGTGCATTTCCTCTTTTATTTAAAGTATTTGAAAGTATTTTTATTTGGTAAACATTGATGACAAAGTACCATCTTCAAAGAAGCTATCTGTCACTTTCAACACAAAATAATTTCTAAAAATCGAAATTTTTATATAAAAGGAGAGTATCGTCGCTGAGCTACGAAAACCTCGTAAGCGACACAAATATCTATATTACATTCTATTGGTCGGCGCGTTATGAGCTTTTCGCATCTCAAGCCAGAGAGCTTTTTGATCAAATTAACACCTAAAGCCCGTTTAGATATTTGTGTCGCTTACGAGGTTTTCGTAGCTCAGCGACGATACGCAATTGAAGTTATATAAAATTAGATTAATTTGTACCTATTTAACTCAATGTTGTTTTTCTTCCCACACTTATAGTCAGTTGGGTATTTCCCATATTTTTTTTAAAGATATAAGGAAACTCCCTTTAAAAAAGTATAGTACTACAATAGAAATAGAAAAACAAAGATGGTCCTCAGATATAGAGGCATCCTCTGTATATTCTGAATGAAATAGTTGTCTAAGATGAAAAAGCCAACCTCTACCATGCCACGAAAGTGCATAGATGGGTCTTTCATAATTACTTGTTTGTCTATATTTACTTTTAGAAAAAATGAAATTTTCAGTTCTTCAGCTTAAATCACTCTCTTACAAATTAAGTTAGTTAAAATTGTGAAAAAAGTTTTTGGATCATTCTTGTAATTCTACATATTAAAAACTTAAGAAATTTTTTTTGCTATGAAAATGGGTTTTTCTTAAAAGATAGAATTAATTATATAAGGACTTACTGTTGCCTGCAATCTATGAAAATTGCTATTACAAACAATAATGTTATGGCTAAAATGGCTGATATCACAAAAATAATCACTGTTGTTAGTTGTTTTGAATCCGAGTCTGCAACATCTTGTACTGTGGGTAAAGGAGTGGAAGTTTCTTCTGAAAAAACAAAAAAAAGGTTAATAGTAATAATCACATTTTAAGATTTCATATATTGTGCAATAGAAATTAAAACATTAGTTTTTGAACAAAATCAGTCTTATTAGTGGGATTGGATAGCATACAAATATTTCAGTGCTGGCGGTGAACATTCCATTTTGGATAATATAGTTTCTACATATATCAGAGATCAAAAAACGTCCTAGACGCCAAAAATTTCGAACCCCCACCACCAGTAATGACGTCATCCAACTGAGGGACAAGTAACTATGCATAGGCAACCTTACTTAAGGATCATATTTCAGTAAAATTCAATAGGTATGTTCCAACACACGTGAAAACCGTAATATTACCGAACAAATCATGCACTGTATACAATTTTTGGGTAGAGTGCACGATTTGTACGGTAATATTACGGTTTTCGCGCGTGTTGGAACAAACCTTATAGGGGCGTTTGATTTGAAACTCGATCGAGCGAGCGTCGAGGAGACCGAGAAGTGATGACGTCACAATAGAGCATTGAATCAAATCAAATAAAAGAGAGTAAAAAACATAACCTCGCTTTTTGTGATTGTCAAAATCACAGGTCAAAATAGTGAGCAAAAAGTAAAGAAAATGGAAACACTTTTAATAATAAGGGGTAATGGTCCTGAAATGCAGCATATACCACAAATGCCCGCTTCGCTCTCATAATCCATGCCTGTGATTACTGGTGATTAGATCTGGACAGAGAAAATGTATTTTCCAAACACACATTTTGTGTTTTTTATGACGAATAATTTTAGCTATAAGACAAAAGCGGCGAAGTAATTTGTTGACTTCTTGTCTGGTCTTTAATTTTGAGATTCAAATTTGTTTGTAAGTTAGTTAAAAAGAGATAGGTAGAGACAAAGACAAATTTCTCCCTCTTCTCGATCCATCTGCTCTGAGAACATCGAGCTCGCTCTATGTTCTCGCTCCAAAGCAAAACAAACACTTTAGGGATCTCTCGGAGTGTCAATTCAAACACGTTTGCAGCGCTCGGAGATCTCCGATGATCAAATCAAACGCACCATATATAGCAGCTATTATGTCATGTAACTATCACAATTTGACATTTTATCTATAATATAGTGTTTGATATCATTTTATATGTACCTAATTGGGATCAAAAAATTTAGCTGGATAAAATTACCTAGGCATAGCAGGTACATTTGGTAATACATAAAATACACACATTTGTCAAGAATTTTACTGCACATTCCTTTAGTATTTGATATGTATAGCTCTGAATCATTGATAACTGATACATCCAATTAAAAGGAGTAGGCGTACATGTACAATAATTTTGGATTGAGTTAATAGGCATTAATGACCTATGTTTTCATTTATTACAGATTGTGGCATAGGAATTAAGCATTTCGAAATCTATCCCAACTCCTGACCCACATATTATCCCAATATATTATATAAGAAAAATGACCCTAATAACAGGCATAATAGAAATTAGAAAAATATGCCTAAACGTTAATTTTAGATCCCTCTGAAACACATTTCTGAATATTTTTTTTTGCCTCAGAAATATGGAAGAGGCCTCTGAGGCGGCATTAGAAATTACCATTTTAGAAGGTTTAGATTACTATGATATTAAATATTTAATAGGCCAATATGCATTCATAGTGTGATTCCTAAACTCTTTGATAGTATTATTACAAAGTATTTCTCGAAACTGCTTGATCCTTTCATCATAGATCAGCAGTTTGGTGTCTGTTCCAAAAAGCCCACTGAACTTAACCTGTTGTCTTATGTTGATTACTTATCGAATGCCTTGGATTCTAATGATCAAGTTCATGCTATATACACTGATTTTTCAAAGGCATTCGACAGGGTTAACCACAGTTGCTTGATTGGATAGTAACATTGGCATTGGTGGTAATCTTCTGAAATGGATTGAATGCTTTATAACAAACTGCATTCAAATTGTTCGTGTTTCTGGCTTCTTATCCTCTGGTTTTACCGCTACATCTGGTGTCCCTCAAGGGTCACATTTGGGACCTCTACTTTTTAATATATAACAATGACATCCAAAATTGTTTTCAAGAATTCTCAGTTCCTTTGCTTTGCTAATGATTTAAAATTATTCATGCGTGTAAATTCCTTACATGATTGTATTTGCCTTCAAAAGACTTGGATAACTTGGTCCAATGGTGTAGTACTAATGGAATGGAATTAAATACAAGTAAATGTCATGCAATCAATTTCAACAGAAAACACAGTCCTATTGAATATATCTATAAAATCAATGACATAACACTGGATACTATTACAGAGATAAAAGATTTGGGTGTGATATTAGATTCCACCCTTTCTTTTCAATATCATATAACGGCCTCAGTTAATAAAGCATTAAGAATGTTGGGTTTCCTTAAAAGAACTACTTCTGATTTTCATAATGTGATGTGTTTAAAGATTCTTTATTGTGCCTTAGTTAGACCTTATATTGAATATGCTTCTTCTGTATGGAATCCTTTTTATGTATATCTAATCCATAATATAGAACAGGTTCAAAGAAAATTTTTATGCATTGTTGCATTTAAATCGGGTATCGCCCCGGTCAACTTCAGATACAATTATGACGAATTACACACACTTTGTCATCTTGAGACCCTTCTGAGCAGAAGAAACCAAAAGGATCTTAAAATATTGTTTAACATTATTAACTCATCTGCTGATTGTCCCTACTTCTTATCCCAAATTGGATTTTATGTACCCTCTAGAGCTAGAGTAACTAGGAATATTAATACATTCTCCCAACCTTTCCATAGAACAAATTATGGTTCTCACTCTTTTATTCCTAGAGTGATAAGATCTGCTAACAGACTAAATGTAGAATGGATTACTTCTCCATCAGATTTTTCTAACCATTTATGTATATGTGAGTAGTAGATTTTTAATTGTTTTTAATATTTATGTATTTAAATTAATTTATTATTATTTAGGATTGTATTACTATTTAATGTATGTAATATGTATTCTCTGTAATTGTATTGTTTTAATGGGCTCTGAATAAATATTAAAAAACTTCAAACTGATACATTGCACTCAAAAGCTATAAAGTCGCCACTACATGTTGCCCTTAAACATCCACAATTAAGGATTGTCACATTCTTTAATAGTCAGTTCCAGATCATTAACAATCTGGGCATGCTCAGATGTCAACATAAGAGCGGCACTAATAGTGACTGACCTTAAGTGAACTTGCAATATATCTCTATAATAAGGTTTACCAATAGTCAACAAGTAGAATGTACAATATAAATTCTCTTGTAGTTAAACATATTTTTAATCCCAAAGTACTTACTAAAATCTAAAAATTAAGCTCTACATTTGCTTCTCCTTTTTTCGTTTTGTCCATATGCAGCATATTGCATAAATGAATATGCATTTCCTACAAAGCACCCTGCCATTGCTCCATAACAACAAGGAATAGGCCACTCTTGATAAGGCCTATTCCAGTCTAAAGGTATAAGAACAGCACCTAACCAAGATCCAAATAAGCACGATCGTATATTCCACAAAAAATATTCTTCTAGTGGGTTAATTTGGTTCATTTCATCATAAAGCATTATAGATGAGAATAAAGTGAATACGTAATCCGATTCTAAGTATAAACACACCGGTAACGCAGTTAATACAGTCAATAACACAGCGAAGAATAAAGTTTCATATTGTTCAGTCAAAAAAGGGGCTCCGAACAGGATAGCTCCTACATGAAAAATTAAAACAACTGCGCCGCATGTTAATATCGATTTAACAATATTTCCTAATGTAAATTTCCGTTTTAAATTCTTTTGTGAACGGTAAAAACGAAAAAATTTCCAAAATTCGGCTGCGATCAGGATGTATTCCACATAAGTACGTTCTTTCCCTAAATTGTATAATTGGCCACTGTAATTTAGTAAATATACAACTGCTGGTAAATACAGACACGTTAAGAGGTTGTTAAATTTTAAAACTTTGTAAGTTTCTAGAGAAATATCCATTATGAAGAACCGTAGAAAGCCCAACCTAAAATGTAAAAACTTGACTTGAAATGAAATGACACATGATGACAGTTATGAGTGATGACATAATAAATTTCAATGACATTGGTGGAAAGTACTACCAATCGTTTGCTCTGGAAATACCCATACATTTAAATTTGATTTGATACAAAGTCAAACGTGATAACTATCAATATTAAATATATTACATCATAGGTACTTAATATATCCATGAATGGTAATCATAATATCCAATTACCCAAATCAATTTCATGCAAATCCGGTTAAGAACGGCAACACTATCAATGCATAGGTGGAAGATTGGTTGCCTGCGACGTGGCGTGAATATAATTATTAATAAGCTTGGAGCAATAGAGAGAACATAAAAAAGTTTAATTGATTTTTATTACCTTCATTGCCTTCAGAAGAATCATCAGTGTATCACTGTCATGAGCAACAATGTAACCTTGAATTCAAGTTTACTTTTCTTGGATTATAAAAATGTATAAACACGATAAAGTTATATAGGTAGGTACCTATAAATACTTACACTTTATTAGTTTCAATATAGGTATTACACCAGATAGATAGGAGGTGTAATCCTTCATCTTTAAAAAATGTATTATTCTTGAATAATAATACAATGACATGAAGTTTTTTAACATTACTTTGCCAAGTTTTCAAAATCTAATGATTACACTATAAAGAGTGAATAATGAGAATTATATTTTATGATTGGTGAAAACTATTGAATAATTAATTTTTATTCAACATGTAATCAATGCATTATTATTTAGTAGTTGTAGAAAAAGTTTTCTTTAATTCAATAAGGAATTTAGTAATAATTAAATTAATACACTCCCCTGCATAAAATTTCGCTACCCTAAAATGTTGACCAAGTTTGATGCTTTATAACTTTTTTAGGTTTTATCATATTTTTATGAATTTTCTACTAGTTCGTAGATACATTTATTGTGATTTTTTTAAATTATTTATTATAACATTTTTCGTATAGGCAATATTATACAGGGGTAAATCAAAATGTTGTTTTTTTGTCGCAACTTCAAAACACCTTGTAGCAAAAGTGAGGCGAATAATTTCATTCCAAACATTTTTTTGATTCATCCCATTATCTTATTTCTTCTGCAAGCTGCATTTTTTAATAAAACGCTGCTAATTTTAATTAATTTGTGAAAAATGGATGTCAAGCTATTGATTAAAAATGATCGAAGTTGACTAAGTACACGATTATTGTGACAAAATGTTTGACATTGACAGTTCTGTAAACAGCTGAATTCCCAGAGCACGGGCGATATAATTTTTAGTACGGCCATCCTCTATTACCCAGACAGCACACCAAATCCTTTGGATATCTACTGGACATCCCAATATCCACTGAATGTCCAGTCCATGGTGTCTATTTTATATCCATGAGATGTAATTTATAGACATGCAAATGTCCATAAATAATTGTAATTATATAACAAATTATTAAAAAATTACGCCATTGTGGCTAATAATACCGTTTAGATATTTATTTAAATTTAAATTTTTTTAAGGTGTATTCAATATACCATGGATATCAATATATCAAAGTCACCATGGTGGCTATCCACTAGATGTAATTTATGGATATAATATGTACCTAAATATCGAAAAATATGTGAATTGATTTAATAATTATTAAATTATGTACTTAAATATTACGTCATGTGATAACTTAGAAAGTATGTAGGTATGGTTTATAGAAATTTAAAATTATTAAGTTGTATAGAATATCCCACAGATATTCGCTAAATAAATAATATTGGCAATTGACGCGAGCAAAGGCGCGGATATTTTCTGCCCTCACAGGTGCCATCGGCCATTTTATAGTTTGTTTTCGTTTTGTTTGTGTCGTGTGCATGAGTTTTATTTGATAATTTTGGATTAAAAGGAGGTAAGTAAGCTTTAAAACCTAAATTTATTAGTGCTAAATTAACGTTAAGATTGTTAAATAAAGTATGCAATGTACGTTAAAATTCGTGTCCTTTTTAGGTAATTCACAACTAGAAATTCATATCATTTTTACGATACCCTATTTTAATATAATTAAGATGTATGTTACTTTACCTACCTTCATATACCTACTTATTTCGTGTGATTATTATTGTTTCGGTTTGGTTTTTATTGTTTAATGGTTGTTATAATTAATTAGAAAGAGGTATTTTTTCACTGGTTAAAGTAATCTTATTACACATCTGCCTTGTATTCAATAGAATGCATGAATAATTTAACAAGTAAGGTTAGGTTATGTTTAGCTGGACCAACAGTTTAGATAAATAAGTTTAATATGTTCACAGATCAAGCCCTCTTAAATTATTAGTGTTATATATTGTATAAGTGACACTCTGCGCAAAAGGCTTTTTTCAGACTTCATTTTCGTTTTGGGTATAGTTTGATTTAAAATATAGGTACACTTTTTGAGGAATTCTAAAACAAAGCGTCTTTTTTTTTCAGGAAGAAATTTCCAGTTGAAATTGCGGCGCCAATATATAATGTGTGTGTGTGTATGTGTGAATAGTTTAGGTTTTCCTTGGCTGCGGGTACTATGTTCATTCGCCAGCTTAAATGTAATATGTTATTTATTATATTAGTATGTTTATACTATAGTTTACTTTTTTTACATATATTTAGCCTGCTCATATTTGTCTTTGTTTTACCTAACTATACTTAATATAAGAACAATAAAGAATAAGATTTATTTGTTAGATGCTTATATGTTAGATAACTCGTGCGTTGCATTCAATTTAAAACTTACTTCACATATTCAATGATACTTTGGTGGTTTTTTAGGTATGGTGTACAATATTTAATTGTAAAAATAAATTGATACTCTTTCTACTCTACTAGAGGTACCCATTAGATATTTTGCTAGATATTCATAGAGTATCTTCTATATCCTGGATATAGACGGGCATTTCGATATCTCTGTGATTTTGTGTATTGTCTAGGAAATACCCATTAGATATTTTGCTGGATATCCATAGGATATCTTCTATATACTGGATATAGAAGGACATTTGGATATTCATATTAGGTCCACGGGATACCTATGATATCCAGTGGATATTTTAGGTATCCACAAAAGAGATTCTGTGGATATCTCTGGGATTTGGTGTGTTGTCTGGATAGAGCAACAATTCCACCCAAGTCTGCTGTAGTTAATACCATTATAACAACACAACAAATTCTAATGCTGAACTGTCAATATCAAACATTTTGTCACAATAATCGCGGGCTTAGCCAACTTTTTAACCAATAACTTGGCATCCATTCTTCACAAATTAATAAAGAGCGTTTTATTCAAAAAAAAATGCAGCTCCCGGAAAAATAAAATTTTTGGAATATATCTGAGATTACTGCAAAGAGTACCTATGTAAACAAAATTATCAGCATTCATTTTGCTCCAAAGTATTTTGAAGTTGCGACATAAAAACAACATTTTGATTTACCCCTGTATAATATTGCCTAAACGATTACAACAATTTAAAAATAATTACAATAAATTTATCTAAAAATTGGTAGAAAATTCTTAAAAATAGAATAAAACATAAAAAGTTCTAAAACGTCAAACTAGGTCAAAATTTTAAGGTGGCGGAATTTTGTGCCGGGGAGTGTACAATATTTTATGTAAAGAGTATATTTAGCTGTGATTAAAATTTCTATTATTAAACAGTTATTTATTATACAAGAGAAAAAAGTATTAGATTCTAATAGAAATCTAATATTTTTTCCGTGTATAATACACTATTTTTTTCTGTGACGGGAAAAACGACGATTTAATATTGAAAAAACATATTATTGCAATATATTAAAGTCAGAAAATTATCGATGTAAAATTTTAAATTTAAAACAAGTAGGCTTTGTACTTATAACGACAACTAGACCTGCGTTGCTAAGGCAACCTTTAAAATAATCAAATATCTGTCAATTTAATTTTGTGATTTAATTTAAAAATTAAGAACTTAGTGGTTGTTTAGTAGTAACTTTGAATAATATAAAGTTAAAAAAGTCTGATTCCTAGTTTTCTCTGACTCCACCAGGAATTAGTAGAAGCAACGAATATAGCGTCACAAAAATTATTACCAGCTAAATCGCGGAAAATTTACGAAACCACGCTTTCAAGAATTATGGAATGGAAGATAAAAAAGACCCCCTTTACTTGAGTGTATATATATCCGGGAAAAAAGTACTCGAAAAGTGACATTTTGTTACCTGTCAACAGAGATAAAATGTCAAACTTTTTTCCCGTCACAGAAAAAACATATTTTATTAGAAAATGGAATTAAATGATGACTAAGTTCCTTTTCAATATTATCGCACATGTACCTAATTAAGGTAATAAATATTTTGTTTATCTACAGTCTAGTAATATACGAAGTACTAATTAAAGTTTAACTACCTGTAATAAAAAGATATATCTAGCAGGTATTTAAATAGTTATCTTTAGGATAATCATTAAAATGTATATTTTCAACTAGAACTAGAACGTTTAAATTTTCTCATAATAAAACAATAAATATGAGCTTGCAAAAAAATGTTTAAAATAAAATATAAAAAGCTTTTATTTCTTGTTTATTCCTTTTCAAGTTATAAAAAGAAAATAAATAACAGGAGACGGCAAGGACCTGACTGTAAGGCTGGTGACTGATTTTGCAGAAAAACCTTTATTTTATTTCTATACAATCTTTTTTAAATATACCAATGTATTTGCTTAATTTTTATTCACACAACCCAATAACGAATTAAGAGTATTAATGTTATTAACAAAATTATTAGTTTAATCAAACCATCTAGTAATAGAGTCGTATTTCGAAAAAAAGTACAAACCTAAGGAATAAGGAATTAATTTTAATTGTCATATTTTTATTCGCCAAATCTGGTTTACCTCCAAATAAAGAAATAATAAAAAAAAACGATATTTGTATAATGTTAACAATAGTGGCATTTTTGTATTTTGCGCCACAATACGTGTACATCAGCACTTAACGTGTTAAAAAGCAATCTTTTATTTTTTTTTTTTTTAGATTTTTCTTCCAAAATA